GTTGTTACTTTCTCAATAGAATGAACAATTAGTCACTTTTGTATTGGCTTATAGTTCATGTTTATTTATTGATACGTGTGTTTCTTACATGTTTTTATTTATTTAAAAAATAAAAGAAGAAGCTGCCTTGTACGGAGTTGGAGCATTGATCCTTTTAGCTCCATATTGTTTGCACTGACTGACAGCGGCTCTCCAGACAGCTGTACCTGGAGATGTCAGGGATTGAACCCGGGATCTTCTAATGTGGTATACTGCCTCAGAAGATGGTGTGGAAACTTCAGCTAGTATAGAATAGGGCAGCCAGCTTGCTCACTGGAGCAAGATGATTTGAGCATATAATTCTGATCCTGGCCTGACTGCATTGGTTGCCAATTAGTCTCCGGCCCCAATTCAAAGTGCTGGTTTTGACCTATAAAGCTTTAAATGGCTCAGGACCACAATACCTCAAAGGCCACTTATCCCCAGATGAACCAGTCTGAACCTTGCTGCAATCATCACCTGAGGCCCTCCTTCGTGTGCCTCCTCCACGAGAGGGTGGCAACACAAGAACGCGCCTTTTCCGCAGTGGCACCCTGCTTGTGGAATGTTCTCCCCAGGGAGGTTCAGCTGGCAACTTAATTATACACCTTTAGGCGCCAGACAGAAATGTTCCACTTCAACCAGCCCTTTGGCTAGCATCCTATCTCCTTTAAAATACGGATTATTGGTTTGCTTTTGTTTTTCATTATGTACTTTTGTGTTTGATATATGCAAAGTTGGCACGCCACCCCTGAGCTTAAAGAGCTTTCCTTAAGACACAGGAACATATTCCGCACCCCTGCTCCCACGGCACATTCTTCCATGGTCTCTCGAGAGGTGCCAGGTGCCAGCAACTACCGGGAACAGAGGGCACACTGCCTTATGCAGAGTCAGGCCTTTGGTCTGTCTTTGCACACAGTGATTGCCAGCTTCCCTCCAAGCTGCTTTCTGAGCACTACCTGGCGATGCAAGTGGGGATTGAACCCGGCACCTCTTGCATGCAAAGCAAATGCCCTACCACTGATTGGTGGCCCCTTTCCCAGGCCTTCTTCTGCTTCCCCTCCTTTTCCAAGCAGAGAGGAAACCTTGCCTCTAGTTGTTGAGGGACACATCTGGCTTTTCTTATTAAACCCTGTGTAACTGATTGTGTGTTAGAGGAAGGGCAGGGGAGGTTGCAGCAGAGAAAGGGAGCGTCAGCAGCTGCCTTGCTGCTTCTAGCTCCCACCCCACTCTAACCCCCTCTTCAAATCTCCCCCCCCCCATTTAATTATTAGTAATTTATAAGGAGCCTTCTTGGTCCCTCCAACCCATCCAAATACACGACTCATGCAGCTTGATAGCTTGCAAATTATTAGTAATTTGATTTCAATTGAATGAATAACCCGCTAAAGCGAAACGCACATTAGCCCCAGAAATCTAATTGGAGATAACACCATAGAAACTAAAGGGGGGACAACGACAGAGCCAGAGCTTGGTTAAGCTACCCAGAAAAGGAAGAGGACAGGAGAGGGGGTAGGAGATAGAAGATAATTGGGATTTAATTTCATTTCTTACCTACTCATTTGTTTAAATATGGGTGTTTAATTATCCAGCTCCGCAGATAGCTGCAGTTGCCAAGTTATGAATATGCGCTCCTCACTGCAGCGCTTAATTTCACCTCTCTCTCTTGCAAAATAGACTCTGATGCTAGCCAAGCCGGCTTTGATGTTGAGCCATCTTAAGCCTTATTGGGGGGAAACGGGCATCTCATGCAAAAAGGGATATTGTAGAAAGCTGGAGAAGGTTCAGATAGAGGGCAACCAAAAATGTTCAAGGCGTTGGAGCAACTCCCCTGTGAGGAAAGGTTACAGCATTTGGGGCTTTTCGGTTTAGAGAAAAGGGGGGCAAGAGGGGGGGGATTGATAGTGATGTATAAGATTGTACAGGGTGTGGAAGAAGTGGATAGACAGAGGTTCTGCTCCTCATAATGCTAGAACTGGGAGATACTCATTGGAGCAGAATATTGGAATTCACTCCTACAGGACAGTGATAGCCACCAACTTGGATGGCATTTCAAAGAGGATTGGGCAAATTCATGGAAGATAAAGCTATCAATGGCTTAATAGCCAGGAAGGCTATGTTCTGCCTCCGTGGTCAGCGACAATGTTTGTTTGCTGGGTCCCACTTTCTGGTTTAAATAGGATTAGACAAATTCATGGAGGATAAGGCTGTCAGCATCTACCAGCCACTAGGGCTATGTTCTCCCTCTCCCGCCAGAGGCAGCATGGCTCTGAAGACCACTCGCTGGGAATGTATTTATTTATTTTTTATGACTAATTAATAAATTAGATTTCCATATCGCCCTTCATCTGAGGATCACGGGGCAGTTTGCAATACAGTGGTACCTTGGGTTACATACGCTTCAGGTTACATATGTTTCAGGTTACAGACTCCGCTAACCCAGAAGTCGTACCTCAGGTTAAGAACTTTGCTTCAGGATGAGAAAAGAAATCGTGCTCTGGAGGTGCGGCGGCAGTGGGAGGCCCCATTAGCTAAAGTGGTGCTTCAGGTTAAGAACAGTTTCAGGTTAAGAATGGACCTCTGGAACGAATTAAGTACTTAACCCGAGGTACCACTGTATAAAAACACAAAAATACGTAGTAACAAATAAAAACAACCCATCACCCCATCACAGTTTAAAAGGCCATAGATTGTTTAATCAGCCAAAGGCCCGGGAAGAGAGGAATGATTTTGCCTGATGCCTAAAGATATGCAACGAACGTGCCAGGCAAGTCTTCCTGGGGAAAGCATTCAGCAAGTGGGGAGCCACTGCAGAAAAGGCCCCGTTCCTCTGTTGCCACTCTCTGGACCTCTTGTGGAGGAGGCACACGAAAGAAGGGCCTCAGATTATGATCTCAGGGTTTGGGCTGGTTCATATAGGGAGAGGTGGTCCTTGAGGTATTGCCGTCCTGAGCCATTTAAAAGTGGGGAATCACAATTGGGGAGCGTGCTGTTGTGCTCTGGTCCTCCTGTTTGGCCTCTGATGAGCTAAGCCTGAAAGCGAATCCACAGCCTCTAGAATTCCCATGATGATCCGGGAGCTCCAGCCAAGCCAAGCCAAGATTTGAAATTACAAAGGAGTCTTTCCAGGACAGGGAAGATGGACTGGTAGACTTGTCACAGTTTCCCAGAATCTGGTGGGTGGAGGAAGTGGAGGGAAGCTGAAACCAGCCTGGAGATTGAAAATCATCAGCTGGTTAGTGACGGGCTTTAGCTCAGTTGTAGAGCATCTGCTTTGCCCGCCAAAGGTCCCAGGTTCAATCCCCAGCATCTTCTGTCCCTTGCCTGGAGAGCTGATGCCAATCAGTGTAGACAATGTTAAGTTAAGGGGACCCTTGACCTGACTTTGTGTAAGGCAGCACCCTGTGTTTCTAGCCCTACTGTGCCTGGACTTCCCAGGTGAGTTTGTGAGAGAGCCCCAGTAGCCAGTCAGGGGCTGAGCATCATCCCACCTGGGGACTTGATCCTGAATCTGAAATGAAGTAGGTTGCCTGAGGCAGCCTTCAGAGGCTTGCTGGGGGTGGGGAAATCTCATCCGCTGTCACTTGTCAGCATCTAAATTTAGGCTGCCTCTTGTCTGGAATCTTGTCTCTCCAGCTTGCGGGCGGAACATGCAGAATTAATTTCAGAGGTGGGGAAAGGGCTAATGATTTATTTACAGCTGGAAGGAGTGTGACCGGGGTTTTGTGTGTGTGTGTGTGTGTGTGTGTGTGGTGCAAGGCAGTGTTTGGGCTTCCTTAATACATGTCAGGTCTTCTTCTCCTTCCTGGAAGATCATCTTGTTACTTGAGACACGATCTCTCGCTACCACCAGCCTCCCTTATCCACTGTGCTTCTGAATACATTTGCTGGGAATCTCAGGTGGGATCCTGCTTTTGTGGGCTTCCTATATTCAGGCACCTAGCTGGCCACTGTGAGGACAGGGTGCTGGACTATGGTGGGCCACGGGCTTGATCCAGCAACAGGGCTCTCCTTACAACGTGCTTTTTTGCCAGCTTATTCAGCTCGCTTTTTAAAGCAGTACAGTGGTACCTCAGGTTACATACGCTTCAGGTTACAGACTCCACTAACCCAGAAATAGTGCTTCAGGTTAAGAACTTTGCTTCGGGATGAGAACAGAAATCGTGCAGCGGCAGCAGGAGGCCCCATTAGCTAAAGTGGTGCTTCAGGTTAAGAACAGTTTCAGGTTAAGAACGGACCTCCGGAACGAATTAAGAACTTAACCCGAGGTACCACTGTACTTTGCCCTGGTGAAGGCATAACATTTCCTGGTCCCTTAATAGTTGAAGGGATCAGGGGTGCCTTACTTCTTCACTGTTCTCTTTCTTGCAGTGGATGAACAAGGCACTTCCTCACCAACCTCAGCCTGCCCTTAGCAGCCACCATGTGCCTTCCTTCTTCATAGTATCCATCCCTGGAGATGGCCCTTGGCTTTCTCCTCCTGGTTCTCAATTTTTGACAGATTGGCAGGAAGAAAGATGGCTCCACCTGACATTGGGTTCCCTGCCTTCTGCCCCACCATTCTCAGTAGGCCCCAGTCACCTCTGTTCCTTTCCTCCTTCAAACCCGATCCCCCCCCAAAAAAAACACATTAACTAGAGTATTGTGCTACCTCTGTGCCAACATTAACTGTGACTAGCTCTAAGACAGAGTTTCAGGCCAGGGACTGAAGCTTGCTTGCATCCCAGGTTTAAAGGTAAACTGGTTTGTGGCAAATGTCTGTGCAGACAGACACTCTATGCTGTGTTTTAGCATTGAAAAGGTGGGAGAGGGTACACACAATACTTTAGACAGAGGTTACAAGATGAGGGAGTGTTACCACCCCCCTAGTCTGTGAGCCTGAGCTTCTCTGAGCTGTAACATCCTATTTAGCACCTGCGACTGAAAGTTCTCTTTCTCTTTCTCTCTTTCTCCCTTCCCCCCTCCTCCTCCTCTCTCAACAGGATACATGCACATTGGGATCTGAACATCTCTTTCCGTGAGACCTCTTGCAGGTACCAATTTTGGGGCCCCTCTTTGTATGGTATGCCAAGAGTTTATATAACGATGCATTTGGGGGTGGGATTGTTGGGTACCACTTAAAAATATGGAAGGATGTTCTTGTAGGGGTCGACTGTGATTTGGGGTTTCTTGCTTTTCCTTCTTTTCCCCCACTTTCATTTTTTGTCTTCATCAGGGCAATCAAAACTCATACTTAAATGCAGAAAAGGGTAATTTGCACAACCAATTGGGAAGGTAGAGAATTTGAGTCATGTAGACCCCTGCAGAGTTTGTTACGGGTGAAGTGATCCACACGACTGATTTAGCACGCAGCCAAACTATCCTTTCTGGCAACACCATTTAACCTCTTTTTCATTTAATTGAAACATCATTTTGATTGGGGGGGGGCGATACCTCCCAGTCACACAGTCAATTCTTGCCCTTCAAAATGAATTGGGTAAAAGCTGGTAGGCACAAATCAAGGCCAGCATTCTTCCCACCGCCCCTGGATAGACACTACACCTGGGACATTCTAGGAGGAGATGTCATCCTCGTAAGAGGGGCCAAAAACAAAATGTCAGCTACCCATTCTTAAGCACCCTTGAACCTTTCAGGCAACTTCACTACTGCTCTGAAACAAGCCCCCTCATTTCACCTCCCTGCACCACCCTACATTAAGCAGCAGGTTTGACAGTTCAGCCACATGACACATACAAGCCAATCCCTAGTCCTCCATCTATTCTAGGTAGGTGGTATTTCTGGGATATGAGGTGGGTTGGGGCGTAAGCCAGCCTTTCACCCCAACATGGCACCCCTTTCCATTGACATTGACTCCCAGCTGTTCTGGCTGGAGCTGATGGGAATCGTAGACCAAAACATCTGGAGGGCATCGGATTCAGGAAACCCTGAGGTTCACTGAGGTCTTTTTCCAGAGGCAACCTGCCTCCGAGGTTAACCGTTGTCCTGAACTGGTCCCACACTATGTTGAGCGTACTCTATTACCTTGCACGCCTGTGGTTGTTTTGTCTTGTCTCTGCCCTTTGCAACATGTCTGGGAACAGCCTGACTTGATTTTACCTGCCTTCCTTTCCTCTCCTTCCTTTGATCTTCCTTTCCAAGTCTGCAAAGGTGCCCTGCCTCCTCCCCCTAAAGCAGTCTGGTCACCTTGGAGTTGCTGTCTCTGTTGTCCTCGATGAAAGAATGTTTAATTAGATACAAACAGGTCCCATGCATTCTCGACACCAAAACTCCAATGCTGGTGGGGAGGTTCCTTCTGCCCCCCTCCCTTTCCTGAAAGGGGAAATATTTCAGTCTCCTGAGGTCTCCAGGGTAATCTTTTCTCTTCAGTACTTTGAAGCCATTCACATAGCTGATATAGTAGTGCCTTAAGTGTGTGTCTCTTATCTTTTTTAAAGAAGCGGCTCCATGTGGTGCCGTTCCCTTTATTTCTTTTTTTAAGCATCGTTAGAAGCTTTCTTTTTTCAAGAATCAAAATGGTGATACTTTCCCCCTTTTTAGACTTCCCCAACACTTAAACAAAAAAAAAAAATCAAGCAAAGGGGGTCTGTCAGGATCCCAAGTTGGACTACAATTCCCATCATCTCTCGCCATTGGTTGTGCTGGTGGGGGCTGATGGGAGTTGGGAGTCCAACACCCTGTAGCACTACATTGGCTACCCCTAGCCCAGCCATTCAGGGAGCTGAACAGCTTCAGTGGACTTCCAGTTTTTGCTTTGTGAATCCAAAGTAAATCGTTTGGGTCTTACAAGTAGGTACACATCATACATTTAAAGCACACACCCCCCTGCCACAAGCATCATGGGAACTGTAGTGCTGGGAATTTTAGCTATCTGAGGAGTAAGCTGTAGTTTCCAGAGGGAAGCAATGCACTTTAAATTTGCTTTAATTGAATGATGTGTATGCAGCTTACGTCAGCTGTTTTAATTGCTTATATGTAAATGGCTCTGGGAGCCTTCTTTGGCTGGGGACTATTGTTCTAAATAAAAATTTAAAAGCGCACGTGTACTTAGTCTAGGACACAAGCTTTGGGCATTCAAGTATACAAAGGTGTACCTGGATCACTTACACAAGTAAAAGGTTTCCTCATGGCTGTGCTAATGAAAACACACGGCTTCCCCCAAAGAATCCTGGGGGGGGGTATAGTTTGCTTAGGGTGCTGGGAATTGTAGCTCTGTGTGGTGCAAGCTAAATGTGTATGTGGTGTGTTTGCAAGGTTAGCTCTTGCTAGAATTAAGGCTCCTTGCAAGGGAGAATTGGCCAAATTAGCAAGCATAAGGAAAAAAGAACAGCTGCTCAAAGTTGTGCTTCCAGCCTGATTGACGCATGTTTCATGTTTTGTCTGTGGCGGGTGAGACAGTAGACAGGAATGGTGGCGTGGGTGGCACATCACCACATCTGTCAAACATGCCCTTCGTGTGATCTTAAAACATTTAATTGGGTGGTAAGGGTAGGACAGGACGGAGGTTATGAAACTGAGGAGCAGGGTGGTCAGTTTTTGTTTCTCTGAGTTGCTTCCGTTTTCCATTCTTAAATTGAGTTTCTCCACATTTCCACATTCTAGTGTGAATTTCTCAAAATAAACACGTTTTTGTATGCAGCTTTGACTTCAGCGATCTTCCCTACCTTTGTCTGTTGTTTTCACCAATACACACATTTTTATGTATACCCTCTACTTTATGCATTTTTGTACACATTCATTGGCTGGATTGCAAAATTTGCAAATTCTGAAGGGAACTGTATTTCTGTTCATGTTTTGGTTCGAGAAGTGCAGATGCCAGCAAAACTAATTGCTCCTCCATTCCTACTGTGGGGCTGCTGACCCTGTGGTGGTACAGACAGGTCACAGTACCATTAACCCTTTGCAACCATAGCACTGGTTTTTATTAACTGTGGCTAAGCATTAATATCCAATTTCATAAGAAGAGCCCCATTGGATCAGATCAGAGCCCCATCTCATCCACCATCCCACCGGATAACCTATGGGAAGCTCACCTAAAAGTCATGCCTTAAGTATTTCCCCTTGTATCAAGAGACAAAATTATGGACTCAGTGTAGGTTTGGAAACCAAGGCTAGTGTTAAGGTGATCCTTGAGGTGGTACAATGGGTTTTAAGCCAGGGATAAGATTATTTCTCCACCTCTGTAGACTCTGTTTACAAAGGGACAGCAGGGGTCTTGCTGGTGTCTCCCTATAAACACCTTATGAAGGCAGGACTTTGCTTGCTGAGCTAGCCGTGGCTTTACTTTGTGTGTGGTGGTGGGGAGGGGAGGCTCTGAACTTCAGTTAGGATGACAAATTCTGGTTAGTGCTAATTGTGTTGAGGTGTTAGGTCAGCACCAGACTATGGAAGTTACAAGAGAACTGGAAGGGAAGCTGTTGCATCTTGGATCTGTTTCAAATTGAGTAGCTCAATTGGTAGAGTATGAGACTCTTAATCTCAGGGTTGTGGGTTTGAGCTCCACATTAGGCAAAAGATTCCTGCATTGCAGGGGGTGGGACTAGCTGACTCTCATGGTCCTTTCCAACTCTACAATTCTATGTAGAGAATTTTTGAAGGCTGGGCTGTCCCTACCAGTTCGGCCTATCCACATGAGCCAGCTTCAATATATTAACAGTATTGGCTTCTTGATCTGATCTTCTTAGAACTTTTCAACTTTCTACTCATACCTTTAGGACAAGGGGAGGAACATTTTTCATCCTGAGGGCCACATTTCCCTCTGGGTAACCATCTGGGGGCCACATGCCAAGTCCGGGTGGGACAATTGGCATAGCTTAGCATACAGAGAGAGTGATAAATTTGATGAGAGCATTGAATAGGTGTTGGGTTCTTGTTCTCTAATCCCCACCCAGCCATGAAACCCGCCATGTGGGTTGCGTTCAGCTAATTCCTACTCAAGTAGACACACTGAAATAAGTGGATCTTAGTAATGCCCATTAACTTCAGTGTATCTACTCGTGAGTGGGACAAGCATTGAATACCCCCATGACCTTGAGAGTGCCACTGTCTCTTAGGCTGACGTACCTTTATTGTGAGACCCAGCGTGGCACAGTGGTTAGAGTGACAGGTTGGGACTTGAAGAAACCAGGGGTCAAATCCTCACTTGGCCATGAAGCTCACTGTGTGTGACCCTGGTCCAGATCCTACCTTTCAGCCCAGCCTACCTTGCAGAGTTGATGTGAGGATTGAATGAAGAGTGGCGGCGGGCGGGCATGGGCATGCATGCCACACCTTGAGCTCCTTGGAGATAAAGGTGGGATATAAACTCTTTTTTTAAAAAAAGGATTTTTAAAAAGATAAAACAGGATCGATGCCAGCTATCGTGTGTGTGTGTGTGTGTGTGTGTGTGTGTGTTAGTCACAACCTGTTTTACAGAAACTATTTAACACTTCAGGTACGTTCTTAGCTCTCTGGAACACACAAGCTTGGCTCTGCAGGACCTCATCCAGGGTGTCTTGATTCTTTCTCTTTCTTGATACTCATCTTCCTGAAAGAAGACATTACAAAGACCAAGCCAGGCCCAGGCTGTCTTTGCCTTGACATCTCGTGCTGGTTGCTCAGCTGCCGTACCAGGACGTTCTTCCTGTAGGTGAGGCCAACATCAACAAGGAAACGGTTGCTGGTGGCTGGCAATCAAAACACTCCGTCATGGGAAGGTGGCATTATGGCGAGTGAAAGGTGTCCCCCTCCCCCCAACCCTCCTCCCCCCCGCACAAACACACGTCATTGGTGCATTTGTGTGGTTTTCAGACAACAGCTGGAGAAAAAGCAGTAAATAGGCTGATGTTGTTTAATTTGAAAGGTATTTTAAAGTTAAGGAAAGAAGTAATCTCTGGAGGAGATGCTGCTGTTTGATGCGCCTCCAGGCTCCATGTGCTTTTCTGCGTACTTAGGCCGAAGGATCTCTTTCTGTTGAAAAACCTTTTCATATTGCAGAAGAATTCTGGGGCGTGTTGGGAGCTGTTTCCAGCCTGAGGGCCACATAGCCTTCTGGGCG